ACCAGTATCTTTATGTTCTGGACTCTAAGCTTGAAAATCTCTTTATGTTCCCTGATTTCATGCTCTGCCCTGTTTAGGTTGTGCAGCACAGAATCATGTGCCATGAAACTAAGACTACTACCAGAAGCAATGTGAAATACTTGCTGGATCTGGCAGCAGTTGCTTAGATGAAACTCTGATAGCATTAGTGGTTGTGCGTGGCCATGCATGGAATTCAGCCTTTCTGTCTTGAAGAATGTAACGGTGCCTACGGTCGCATTGTTTTACTAATACTGCAAACCCTGACAGGTCCTCCTCCATTATTCACTCGAGCAGTAACAAAATTAAGTCACAGTTGCAAATGTATAAATAAATGGGTTATACCCAGTGAGAAATACCATAACTTACCTAATGTTTAAAGCGATACAAATTGTGTAAAAACTGGTTTGTGTTAATACATACTCTGAGCGAAGGCTCCTAAGTGGATACGGTGTGCTACAAAAAAGTATTTTTCAACAATAAAATCGTTTGAAAAACTTCAAAACATTAAGATGTCTTATTAATTAAAAAATAAAAGTGAGAATGCCACACATTGACAAAATATAAAAATCAAACCCTATAAATTCTCATTAGTGGGTGAATTTGTGAGTCATGAGATAATTAGACAAAAAGGGTAAAAATGTTCCGGTGCAAGATATTTAGAAATAAATGCGAATGTTTCCTCACAAAATGCAGAATATAGTGACCCAATAATAAATAAATCAAAAATTGACGAATAAGCAAACGAAATAAACGAAAAAATGTGTGTAAATAGTTCTTTCCCTTTTTGTCTAATTATCTCATGACTCACAAATTCACCCACTAATGAGATAATTTATAGGGTTTGATTTTGTGAGTCATGAGATAATTAGACAAAAAGGGTAAAAATGTTCCGGTGCAAGATATTTAGAAATAAATGCGAATGTTTCCTCACAAAATGCAGAATATAGTGACCCAATAATAAATAAATCAAAAATTGACGAATAAGCAAACGAAACAAACGAAAAAATATGTGTAAATAGTTCTTTTAAGTCCGGTCTTCCCCGCAGACAGAAAGCAAATACCAGATACAAAAATACACTGCTCTCCTAAGTCCTATCTTCCAATCAGCTGTCCCCCCAGGCAATCGGTACTCACCAGAGTTGGTGAGCATATATATATTGTGGCATTGTGAGGCAATACCACGGTGTTAGGTGGCCTCAAAGTCACCCAGGGTTCTCAGCCAGAGGGGCTGAGTGGCTCCAGGAAGACAGTACGTGTACCAGGAGAGAACTGCCTTTTCAGTTCTTTCTGGGTTTTCTGGATCAAGGTTGGGATCCTGGAGCCAGGAGATTTCTTAGAGCTCTGGGTGGGAAGAAATCTCCATTCCTGGGTCCATGCTTTGGTGGTGACCAGCACCTGATTGTGCACCTGTGTACATCCCTCATGAAGAGTGTGCTGGGATGTGTTCAGGGCCCCACCTGTGAGTCAGGAGAGCTCCACCCTGGAGTCAGTGGAGGCCAGTGCAGCAGGGAGCTGCGGGGTTTGCGAACCATATTGAGAGGATTGGCATGTTATTGCCGTTGTCTGGAGGAACCAGACAGTGGCCCTAAAGATTGAGGCCGGAGCAGCAGTGCTGCAAGAGAGACAGATGTCGGTGAGCCCTTATCTGTTATATGCTACAGCGAGCTATTTATGTTGGATTTCATGTTATCTACCGTTTTGAAAGCAAATAAACTGCATCTGACTTGCACCTCCGGTCTACAGTGGAGTGTCCTTGTTACAATATATATATATATATATATAATCACTCAAAAGGGAAGGACCTCTACTCTCCCCGTTCCGATTCCCTCGGGTTCCTCTGACAGCTGACCGAACACTTTCAGGCACTTCTCCCCTGCATTTTCGTGGAGGTCCCGGCTATCTGTTGAAAGCAGATGCCGGCTTTTCTCATCCGTGAACAGCAGCGATTTGGAACGGTCCCGATCAGTGTTTTTTTAGGGTTATGGGAGAGAAAAGAACAACCCTCATGGTGTGGAGGTACACAAAGGAGGCTGGTGGTACAAAAAATGCCGCCATTCAAACCTAAATGTAATGTATCTGATTGGGGAGTGCCACACTGAGCCCACCAACGGAATTGTGTGGAAGACAAGGAGGTGATGGAATTACTACTACAAGTAAGTGGAAATAAAAATAAGACCCAGGATGAAATGATAGCAGGTGTAGAGAAACTACACCAAAGCTGGTTCCTGATGACACTTTCTGCACTCTGCATCAGTCCACCAAAAAGTCATGTCAATCTCAGTTATAAATATTGCCTGGCAAGCTGAGTCATGGTCTAGATTCTGATACACTCCAGTCACAAGATCTGCAAGTCCTACTTCTTGGCTCTTCTCTTAGCTTTTGGAGCCTCACTTCTGTCACATAGGACTGCTTTCAAGTCCACTTTTTGCATTCTCCAAACATAAAAAACATAAAATAGGTAAAAACCAGATCTCATCTCTAGATCACCCAAGAGATAATAAGTATCTCTAAGGTGGTTTCAAGTATATCTAAAGTCAGTTTACTAGTATTGGGTAGGGTGGGGAAGAACTGTGCCCCACAGGGGAGATTAATCCTTGTCAATGGGTCAAAAAATGATGGGGAATCCAAAAATGTGCAGTTGTCATGGAAACAGGAGGTGACATTTTTCAATGGGGACAGCTGTTTAGGAGAGGAACAGGAAGTAAAGGGAAATCTTCCCCCACAGGACACAGACAAGGGGTTTACCCTCTCTACCCTATAAAAAACAGTTTTGGCTTTAGATACTCTTTAGTAATATGTTGAGCATGGACTGCCCTTAAATATAGCTCAATACTGTAGCATTTGCAGGCTTATATACCAATATGTAGTAACATTTATTTAACCTTCCATATAGTTTCAGGAATGCCTAGAACTTCCTCAAAGTGGTATTAACATGTCTGAAAGACAAACTTCCTTTGTTATCCAAACTTACCACATTCTTTGTTTTTTACTGCATTGCAACATTGAAATGTGTTTGTTTGCTATAATCACCTTACACTTTCTTATACAAGGTACAATGCATTATGAAAACTTTAAGATATTATTCACACGTCTTATAAAAAAAAGGGAAGCTCTACAATAAATAACATTACTAGTTAACAACAGAAATAATTCCATGCAGTGATTGACCTGGTTTATAAAGGTGATTATAAGAAAGTTTTATTCAGATGTGGAACTGTATCTAATATTATTATTATTATTAATGTTTCAAAATATATAATTTAATTTTCATTTGTGCTTCCAATAAAGAAAACTGTGAACTGATTCAGCGTGGATTAATTTAATAAAGGCATTAAAGAAGGAAGTGTGTGTGTGGGGGAGGAGGGCTGACACAGAAGACTAGAAGATATATGAGGTTTTATTTAATTAGTAAAAAAAAATCTGAAGCCCACTGCCTCCTTTTCTTCAGTTTTTATAAATGAGTGATTTAAGGTAAAAATGCTTTTATCTATCTAAAATCTGCTTCCTGGTTGGACAGACGCAAAGAACAAAGGCAGGAAAGCCACTGAAACTTCTGAACCAAAACAAAAAGCATTGGCCAATAGCTGTCATAAAGTGATGATTCTGAAGTAACACTCCAAAACATTTCCTTGTTTCTTTTTTCGGATAGAACAGAAAATGGTTAGAACATTTAGAACAATAAAATAATTGATTCTCTCTGGGATCTATGAAATTCATCCATCTGTCTTTAATCATCTTATGCATCCTGTCTGTCTGTAGCATAGTGGTCTTTTTACATTTCACCCTGTGTAGTAGCCATCCAGACAGCTTCTTCCACTGAAATCAAGGGAATCCATTGAAGTCCCCTGAGCTATGAAAGAACTCCAAGGTAAATGTATGCAGTGTTATTGTGCATTGTGTTCATTGGCACACTAACACAACCTGTTCAACCTAGATTTGTACTGATAAGGAATTAGTATAAGTACAAATTAGGTAAGAAAAATGATGGAATCCTAATATCAAAACTTTTTTTAGTTTTGGATAGAGAAAAAATAGCTAAAACTCTCTTTTTATTTTTGTTGCAAGCGTCCTTTTGGGTTTCCCTTTAATTTCTGTACTGGAGACACAACAGGAGCTGAGAGAAAATCTATCCAAAATAAGAGAAATCCCTTCTTACACAGTTTTCACAGGTGTCCCTATTGAAAGATTTTGGTCTTCTCATCACGTAATGTCCTGATAACAGTGGTCACCAGGACTGCAAAGTTGGGACATAGACAGTGACAGTGGTTCTAATTCTTCCCTACTTTATCCAGAACTTGACATTTTGGGCATTAGACACAGTTTAAAGTTAAAAGGCCAAACAAATCACAAGCAATTCGCAGGATCTTTACACCCACTCTTTATAAACCTGAAACATGTTTTTAAAATAATGTCTCTGTATTGCTTATGTCCCTCGGCGCTCATCTTTGCACTTCCATCTCTGTCTGGGCCTGTGTGGAAGGGCTTTTGTTCTCATCAGAACTGCTTCTCTCGCCATACAGGTCTATGGACATGCAGGTCAACTGAAGATCAAATTCACCAGTTATTGAATTCTGAATGATCTCATAGGCTTCCTTAACTGATTTCAACAGCATGCTGCATTTGCCCGTCGAAACAAGCCCAATGCCCTTTGCCACAGGCTCTTTGATAGTTGCCAGCTTGGGGCAGGGTAATGCTACATCTTATTTTTCTGGTTGTATTTGACACTTTTTGTGTTGTGACATAGACTTACATATAGTTATTTTTGGAATCACTTAAGCAATGCCAGATTGCCTAACACCTAAATGACTCACAAAACTCACAAAGGGTATGGGATATAGAGAGACAAACCACCAAAAACATCTGCTACTTTGTTACAGGAAACTACAGAACCTTACTGGGACACACTTGTTTTTCACAGAAGAGCAAGTACAACAAAAAGTCCCCAATTCATGTCTTTTAATTATTATTTTACTAGAACAATGTTGATTCCATGCTTGGCCCTGCTTGGACTTGTAACACTGTGTGCTTCTACAGACACATGTCCAGGTAAGTAACTTGTAAAGTTTTGATAAAATAATTACTATAATAACTATTCATTAACCAGTGCTAATTCTTAAATGCTATTTCTTAAAGAGTCACTAAACCCAAAAGTGATATTTTAGTTATTGATGAAGTTAGATGTGCAGAATCAAACCATGGCTTCGTATATGATTTGGACACACCAACAGTGAGATCTCCCTGCTAAAATCCCTGATTTTCTTCCTGCCAATCTAGGAATTTTTTATATTTCCACCCACTTTTGTGTATTCTAGCTTCCCCTGTTACATTCTCCATGATATTGTATAACTAAAATATCCATTTGTAAAGTGGGAACTCCTCATAGTGGCCACAGCAGGTGTGCTGACCTGGGAACACAGAAATAGAGTCCCTGAGAATAAAGTGTTTGATGCTCAAGCACGGGTAAGAACATTTTCAATAGGTTGATTGATAAGCAGCCATTTTCATCTAAAAAGGTGGCAGACCCGAGTGGAAAATTCAGCTGAATCATTAATTTTCTTTGTTGTGTCATGCAATAGTTTTTGAGCAATCATTAAGCTATCAAATATATGATTGATAAATCATTTATAATTATTTATGTGGCCAGTATAAGTGTATCATCTCGCTGGGATTTAAGGTGGTAGAGTATTAATGATTTCAAAGCCATAACAGAGATATAAGAAATTATAGCCAGATCTTCCTTGATCAGAGTGATGTAGTCAATCAATCACTTTTATTTTATCTGATAAACAGAAATAGAAAAGCCACTATAGAGATTACATACATATAAAATAAAAGTGCTTCCTTTTTATTTGTCCTAGAGGTAAAAGTAATCGGAGTTGGGGACTCGGACAAGCTGACCATTATCAGAGGATGTCCTGGGCTTCCTGGAACTCCAGGACAGAAGGGAGAACCGGGTGCTCCAGGTCAGATTGGTAAATAGAATATTTATATTATATCATTCATATTCAAGACAGGAAATGCTTTATGTACTATATACAAATATAGCATTTTATTAATAACACCAGGACATACATGTGCATGAACAGGCAACTTGAATTTAATTACTATTCATGTGTGTATTTTATTGCTATCTGTCGTTTGTTTTTTGCTGCAACTGGCAATAGTGCTTTATGCTTTTTTTGACGAGTAAGCAACAAAATGTCATGACTTGTTGGGAGAAAATGTGGTTAGAAACAAATTGTGAGATTTCACATGATTTTTCTGGTCTGCATAGTAATTTTGCAATTTACAGAGTAGGGTGGCTATGGGTTCTGCCAGCGCCTGAGGGTATATGCTGCTTCCATGACTGCACCAGTTTATTGAAAGTCGAACATTCAGGATTTAGGCTTTATTTAGTGCAATTTTATTATTTCTACAGCCCACCTGTTCAAACAATATATCAAATTGCAGTCTAACCATTTTTTGTTTATCTTAGGACCACAAGGAGCCGTAGGAAAATCTGGACCCCAGGGTCAGAAAGGTTAGTGACAAATCTGAAGTTCATTTCCATATATAATTTTGACTTAATTCAACCAAAAGCCCCAAAGACTGGAAGAAGAAATCTTTACTCCGACTCCTGGAATGGTTGATAAGGGTGGATACAAAATTGCAGTTTATAGAAATCATTTTTTACTAGAGACACATACATAAACATTTGTATTCTGGAAATGTGGTTTTCTTTAAAAATATATGAATATGATGTTTGTTACATGTATGTTTGTGAAGTAAAAAAATACATTTTAATCAAATTTAATTAAAACAATTTAATAAAAATTTTAAGTATAATTAATATACTTTAAATACTGGAACTAAAACATTTCCTGCAAATCTGTTTAATGTTTATCTACTATTGAAGGTGTACCTGGTGACAAAGGAGGACAAGGAGAGAAAGGAGACAAGGATAGATATCTCATTAAACAAAGCATACCTAAAGACATTTAAAGGAGAACCATGGGGTAAGTGTTTTTCCCCATAGTTCTCCTAAGGGTCAGGGGAGGACACAAACTAGCGTCCTCCCATGACCCAAAGCTCAGTATACCGCGAGCTACAGCTCGCGGTATACTGAGACCGCCACAGCCGGGACGGATCCCAACATTACTGTCGAGATCCACCCAGCTGCGTGATTGACAGCTGGCTCTGCCTATCTAGAGGCAGAGCCAGCTGTACCCGCCCCCTCCCCTGTCCGTTCCGCCAGTCAGCGCTGGGGGATGGGAGCGGGGAAGGGGGAATCCCTGCAGGGAGCCGTGAGTGACAGTGACTGCTCTCTGCAGGGACATGATCAAGAAGTGAGCGAGCGACGGTATGTGTTCGCTCACTTCCCGATCTATTGAGCAGACGTGTGACAGTTTTGTTGTCACACGTCGGTTCGAACTATGAGGTTGAGTGAAAATCACTCACCTCATAGTTCTCCTTGAAGCAAATTTAATGTGCATACAGTATGTCTGAGTGGATTTTAGTGTATTGTTAGGAAAGACATGCACACTGCCAAAAATTATTTACCCCAGTATTAAAGTGTATGTAAACCCTAAAAATTAACTTCTCTTATTTACTACCTTTTGGTCTAAAAAAAACATTGAGAGCATTTTGCTATATCTGTTCAAAAAGTACACAAAACACCTTTGATCATGTCAGAAATCCAACGCTGCCCTGTGTCTTGTGCACACCTCCTGTGTTATCTCAAGCAGAGTAATAAGCCCTCCTAGTTCTTATCTTGGGGCTACAGAATGATTTGTGTATATGTACTGGAGAGTGGGAAAGTGGAAGTAGTTTAGCAAAAGATGAATATGTAGAGCTGACACCACTCAGTGTACAAAAATGCTAGGTGTTGACTTAGGAGCTGAGCACATTTTTGGCAGATCAACAGGTATTTTTCTGTCTTTAGCGGTATAAAATAAGGGAAATGTGCATGAAGTGCCAAGATGTACTGCATATTTTTTATTTTTCCCGTAGGTATACTTTGGGCTCAGAGTTCCCTGTCTTCTATAATTGTGCTAAGCTGATGTTTTTTTTACATGAACAAGCACACATTTGCTGATTGTTAAAACGCGCACGCAGCCTGCGCGTGTGCGTGTTGGGCTTCGTAAACCAGCCCCAATATATCAATGTATCAGAAATTACTTTAATGTGATATATTTTAGCATTTTAGGAAGAATGAGGCATACTTATACTGTATATGTATGTAATGACTGCCATAAATGTATCTCTTTCCTAAAGGAGAAAAGGGAGATATGGGAAGAACCGACAGCCTCATTGGTAAGTGATATATACTGTATGCATAAAAAAAAAATGTTTGGAAATACTGCTTGGCCTTATTTACCAGCACAAAACAATGATTTGACCAGTGAAATGTCTCAGCCGAGTACAGTTGGCCAGTCCTGAGCTATGGAAAAGTGGAGTTATACTGTTATGTGCACTCCGAAGCTGGGAGTGAGGCAGTTTACAGGACAGTCTTCAGGTAACCTTTGACTCGTGACCCTGAATCTGACAATTTAGACTCAGACAAAGTAAGCAAAGCTAAATAACAGGGCATATAAACATTGTTCATACACATATTTATAAAAAAAAAGTATACTTTTTAAATTACATTAAAAGGTTAAAATTTAAGCTGGCCATACACTGCTTAGATTTTCAAAAGAACTTTCGACTTTCAAATAGTTGATTGAGTCAAATGGACGATCAATTTCGACTGTAGTGATGAAAAAACGAATGGATCGGCTGAGCCGAAGCGCTGGCAGCTCACTCGCTGCCTTTCGCCCCTATTCTCGAGCGGCATTCGAGCGGATATTCTGCTCGGTACCTCCGAGGTAGTGAGCAGAATAGAAAATAAAATAAGTAAAATGAATGTGAAAAAAAGTAGAAAAACTATTCGCTGCTACTGAAGATCTAATGCCTAGCCCTCTTCAGCTGTTGCTCAAATACCCAGTATCAGCGTGTGTTCTTATTGATTCTCCACTGCAGAATACTGAAAGGGACTGGTGATTCTGGAATTCTGTTCTGTCTATCTTTGCCTTGGATGTCCTAAGCCCTAAACCCTCTCTCCCAATTCATGTGTTCTAATAAAAGTTCTTCAGCATTATACCTCTGTCCTGGATTGCAGCTCTATCAGTAACAAGTACAGGGCAGTTAATGCTAATGGGGCTTTAGGTTGCTAAAATCCTCTAGACAGGTTATGGAAGACCCGATTATTCCAGCGGCTAGTTAGGGGGTAGCACTACACTTACAAACGTTCGTTCAGAAATCTACTAATGGATGGCCAGCTTTATAGTGATTGAGCTCAAGTCTAGTTTAAATGATATAATGTCACTTTAATCATAAGCACATATATAATCATTATAAACTATTTTCTAGCAAAAGACTGTAAAGAGCTGCTATATCAAGGACAGGTCTTGAGTGACTGGTACACCATATACCTGGATGACAACACCCAGCTGAAGGTGCTGTGTGACATGCACACTGACGGTGGTGGCTGGCTTGTAAGTATTACAAATTCTTTAGTTTAGGTGCCCTCCAACCACCATTTCTATCAAGGCAGGATGCTGCGATACCGCACAGAGAATTGGGCAGTGATGTGCAGTAACCCATACATGGCCAGATTTACTCACTTTGCTGCCCTAAGGCCAGGGTCCTTAATGCACTCCCCTCCCCCAGGGCTGCGTTTGGGTCTCAGCAGGGCTGCGTGCAGGTCTCAGCAGTCATGCGTGCAGGTCTCTGCAGTGATGCATGCAAGTCTCACCAGGGATGCAATGAGGTTGAACAACATGACAAGATTTTTTTTTAGGGCTGCGGAAATTAACGATTAATCCTTCGATTAATCGTTAATTTTTTTGATCGATCAAAATTATTTTGATCGATCAAAGCCATACTCACCTCTCCGCCGGCTTCCGGGTCTTCCGTCGATGTCCGTGACGTCACTGGACTCCTCCCCCTTTCCTTCGTTACCCGATGGAATACACAGTGAGTACACAGCCTAACTCTACTGGCCGCCCGGGAGAGTGGTTTTCTGCTCTCTTGAGATTAATAACGTGCTGGATTAGTGTGATCCTAGTTCATTTTATTACTTCATTGCTGTGCTGTATGTGTATAGGCCAATGTAGTTGGATCTGTATGTGCGTTATAATTAATCGAAATTAATCGATTAATCGATTTAAAAAAAATTCGATTAATCGAACAGGAAAATTTTAATCATTACCAGCCCTATTTTTTTTTTTAGACGAAATGCGAAATTCGGATCCGAAATCCGTTAACGGAATTTCGTATTTCATTTGGTTGACCAATCAGAAGTTTTCTCTTCTGCTGCTGAGGGTTGCATTACAATACACAGGCAGGAAATACGAAATTCCGTTAACGTATTTTCGTTCCGTTACGAACATTCATTATGATCAAGTTAAAAAGCAAAAATACCTTTGTTAATATATTCCAGTTAACGGAATTTCATATTTCGGATTTAAAAAAAAAAACTACCATCGACTCCAATATTAACAAAGGTATTTTTGCTTTTTAACTTCATCATAATGAATGTTCTTAAAGTTACGAAAATATGACAAAACGAATGAAAATTCGTATTTCTTACGAATCTGAATTGAGTTTCGGACACAAATTACGAAATAACGGATATTCCGAAACAAATTTTCTGACGGCGCACAAGTCTACTCTGCGTTCCTGCAGAGCTCAAATGACAGCTGACAGCCGGCCTCATGGGTTGCTATGAGGGTGGTTCTGCCAGTCATTGCAGTTATAGATTTTGCATACTTGCTGCCCTCTCATTCCAAGCAAGCAAGGTAAATGTTGGTTATAATAAGCGATTTTAGCAGCTCCTCACTCACAGTAAGAAAAACAAACAATATCCTGTTCTTAGTTGAACTAGATTTTTTGTTTAAATCATTTTTGAAGTTTATACAAGGAGAATGGAGTAGAATTAGAGCATTCCCTTAACAAGAATGTATAACAGCCTTTTTACCTTGGTGAAAGCCTTCAAATTATTTTCAGGTCAAGGAAATCCCTCCTCAAAATGATTCTATTTACAGCTCACTGTACATTAGTGTGATAAGTTGTAGATCTAAAAAAAAAGATAAGGAATGTTGCGTATTTAGCATGTCATATTGCGGTCAGTACAGAATGGCTCTGTTACGTTGGTAGTCAGTTGAGAAATGCCTCTTTTACATTTTTGATTATTGTAGTGACCTTTTATATTGGTGGTTAGTAGAGAAATGCCTCCTTACATTTACAGCCAAGAGGCATGGTACCGGGGCTATGTAGGAATGTCAGGATGAAATGCAGTTCAACACTGCTCACCGTTCAATGAAACCCTAAGCTTTGACGGAACCCAAGTTAAAAAAGATTGGTTTACAAAATAGTGTGTGTGTGGTGGCTTTTTAGTCTTGACAAGGAAAATAACTAAGAATGACTTTTCTTGCTCAGGTTTTTCAGAGAAGAAGGGATGGCTCAGTGGATTTTTACCGCAACTGGAATTCCTACAAGGTTGGGTTTGGAAGCCGTCTGAGGGAATTCTGGTTTGGCAATGACAATCTTCATGCGCTAACGTCAATAGGTAATTGGGCCACCAGTGGATTTTGAAATGAGACTGGTATTATTTTTTACCGTAGAGGTACAACTCATGGTCCTGGAAACGATATACTATATCAGTGTTTACTAAACTTTGGTTAGGAACTGGCAGGGAGTAAACTTTGAACCAGAGTGTACTCAAATACTGTTGGACTCTTAGTGCCTGTATCCCATCCTCCTCAATCTCTGTCTTGCCATCAGGGAGTGAAAAATTCCAACATGGATTGCCATGATATGGGGAAGTTGTGCTAGTAAAATTGATAAATGTATTTCTGCAGTTTGTTTCATATGTCCTTGTACAGTGATGTAATAAATCTGGTCTGGCCTATAACTTCCCTTCCTGGGCAGGCCAGCCCTACAATTACAAGCAGCACTGCCTGTTGGCTTGAAGTCGTCATGGACAAGTGCAGGGGAAGGGAGGATTATGCGCACCTAAAATTTCCCTTCTAAAATAAGTAAATCAGCTTTACTTCAACATTCACCTTCAATCCAGAGATTTTTTCCCTACTTTTTTCTGTCCTTTGTCTGACAGTCAGCATCATATAAACCCACTTCCTCTAGGCCCAGGTTGTCCTGGACCTGACCCAGCCTGTGACTGGACAGGAAAAGGCACACAGTGATGGGTTTATATCTCTGTCACTCTGATTTCCCTTTTTATCAGTTTTTTTTATTTGTCAGCACATGCATGTATTGGCTCCTTGTGCTGCTTCTTCCTCTCACACTCCAGCCCTGCTGTACAAGGACTGCAGGAGGCTGATTCCAGATCAAAGTTTAATGATGTTTTAATCATTACTTAGTTGCATTCATGTGTGTCTTTTATATCTCCTTAGAGTTCAACGTTAAGCTTGTAGAGACCTTTGCAATCCCCTTTTTCAAAATTGTGTACTTGCCCTTGTTTGGCCTTGGACAACAGAGATCCAAGACAGGATTATCTTCCAATTGCTTTCTGCCAAATGCCTCCTCCATTTTTTTTTTTGTACAGCAACATTCTATTTCTCTCTCAGCTTCATGGGTAAATGCCCCCGGAGCTGATATTTCATGTTGAACAAATTTCATTATTGAAGGTTAATGTATAAATCCATTAGGTTGATTATAAATTGGCTGTTGCTTCAGCCCATTGATGTTTCCAGCAAGCTATGTTTTCAACTGTTTCCAATAAACATTTTGGGAAAGAAAAAAACCATTAGGGAAAAACCTAAGTGAATGAGAGATGTTCTCCTATAATAGCTGCAGCCAGGGCTAAACAACTTCTTTTTTTTTTTATAGGTACTTGGGAGCTGCGCATTGATTTTCATTTTGACAACCGATGGTATTTTGCTAAGTATGCCTCCGTTGGGGTTCTTGGAGAGTCGGAGAAATACAAATTATCACTGGGAAACTTCACAGAAGCAAATGCAGGTAAAAGACACATTTACCAAGTGACCAACCCTATGGTGAATAACTATATGCTGTGCTTCCCTAACAAATCTATAAATGGGCAATGAAAGAAAAAAAAAATGGGGGGGAGGGGGGTGCACCCCGTGGGTGTACATCTGGAGGGGCGAGTCCACTGTCCTTCACCCCTACTGCCTTGTCCTATGGCTTCTTTCCAAATTCTTTGTACTCTTACTATGTAGGTATCTGTTCTTTCCAGTCCTAGTCCTCTCTTCCTTTATCTTTCTGTGCTCCCCATCCATTTTGTGTTGTCTCTTTTCTTTCCTTTCCCTTACTGGGAGTTACTGTCTCCTACTGCACACATAACCTACTGAGGCACTAATAACACCACGTATTCACGTTACCGGGAGGTTAACCAGCTTGTATGACTCTTTCTTTATGTGGTTGATGCCTGCTTCTCATTTTCAGTATTTTTCTACATTGTGTATTGGATGGCTATGCTCCCTTCCTCTTTTTTATACCCCCTTGTTCTTACCATGTTTTTTTTTTGGATAGTTTGATTATTATGTTGACTCTTGGTTTGCTGATTGAATTGTACTGCTTATGTATGTCCTTCTTTATACTTAATTAAAATTTAACTGGAAAAAAAATGGCAATGTGTTCGCCATCTATTGCCCACTTCAGAATGCAGCAGCTGTGCTTTATGTCACGTCAAAAATATGTGTCATTGCTGACCTCCTTTAGAAAATTTTAGCCTTCTGACTGTCTTAATAAGACTCTAGTATAAACACTTTCAGAGTTACTGACCTAGAACTGTATGCAGATCAGGACGTCTGGGCAAAGGGAGCGGTCCTTCATTTCATACTTGAATTAAACCAGTGACTGAAGCAAGAGGCAAGGAGAGGGCAGCAGTGGTCTGATGACATGTTTCTATGTCTATCTATCTATCTTTTTTTCATCTTAAGATAATGGCAGCTACAACATGAAAATGTCACAGATTAGAGTAAAACCACTTATAATTTTTCCTTGCAATTAATTGTCACAGGAGACTCCCTTACCTACCACAATGGTGAAATGTTTTCCACGATAGACCAGGACCATGACACGAATGTTGGGAACTGTGCGAAGACATGCAAAGGCGGCTGGTGGTATAAGAGTTGTTACAATGCAAACCTGAATGGGCTCTATCTTCTGGGGGAAATCAACAGTGAGTCCTCTGGTGGAAGTGTGTGGAAGACCGGGAAGGGATTTAAATATTCCTACAAGTACATTGAAATGAAGATCAGACCCAGCATGACATAATAGCTGGTGGATATTTAAAACACCCAAAAACTTTACAGCCTGGTCCAAAGAGAAATACCCACCTCCAATAATCACACCTTCTCTAGCCTGACTACTGCATATGTTTTTATTTTATTGAAAAGAGGAGAACTAATACTCCCACTGGCTTTATACATTTTTGGAAGATTCACTACGTGAAATATCCACTGCAGTATTTCTTGACTATATTATTAGTATTACTTCTGTCATAGACAAAGCATTTATGCTCCAGTTACATTCTCCATAATAATAATAAAAAATCAACTTAGAGAGTGGGATCTTCTTGCAATGATTGCAGCAGGTATATAGGCCTGGGAAAGCATGTCCAAAGATCTTGCCAACAGACTATCTAAGCGATAGTGTACACAGGGTCAGGTTGAGGTCAGCTTTATATCATATTAAGGTTTTCTGGCCTCAAACATAATGGCTGGCTTCTGTTTTTCTACTTTTGTTCCCAATGGCCCCTGTGTGTGTTGTAAAGTAGCCATCAAACCAAGCTCATTCCCATTATGGACTGCAATCCCATGTTTAGTTTACTAATTTGTATTGACATTGTAGTCCATCACAGGAGTGAGCTTGGAGTGGTCGCTCCTTTAGAACACACACAGGGAGCATGGGGAACAAAAGTAGCCACCCTCCAGAAGGAAAGACAGTGTCAGCACCAATTCAGAGATGATTTGAGGATCTATAGCTGAGTGATACACAAATAAGGTAAATTTCTGTTAATACTTAAAGTCTCTCTAAACTTAGAAGTTAAACCTTAAAAATACATTCAAGTACCTTACCCTATTAACAAAAATGTACCTTATTTGTGTATCACTCAGCTGTAGATCCCCAAATCATCCCTGAATTAATGCTGATACTGTCCTTTATTCTGGAGGGTGGCTGCTTTTGTTCCCCATGGTCCCTGTGTATCTTGTAAAGTAGCCACAGCTCCAAGCTCGCTCCCGTGATAGACTATAACTTCAATACAAATGAGCAAACTGACCATGAGATTGTAGTCCATCACGGGAGCGAGGCCCTTAATCAGACATGCATAGCCTTGTCACACATAATTATCTGAAAGTAGACTTTGTTTTAAGGTTGTTTTTCTGAAATAGTTGCAGTACTCCTTTCTTAATCTCTTGGTTCCTCACACTATAAATAATTGGGTTCATGAATGGTGTCAAGACAGTAAATAGAAGATATTTGATTGTCCTTTCATAAAATGTCTTATTTCCAACTGGAAGGATATATATGGACGTCTGAGCTCCAAAATAGATCAAGATAGTGACAAGGTGGGCACTGCACGTGGAGAAGGCCTTCCACTGACCTGCAATGGATGTTATTTTAAAAATTGATATGAGAATATAGATATAAGAGACAGTAATAAGCACAAATGGTAAAAACATAAGAGGAAAGGCAATTAGGAAATCTTCAGTCTCCACAAGTGACGTGTCCGAAGAAGCAATGGCTAAGATTGGGCCAAAGTCACAGAAGAAATGTTCAATGATATTGGAACCACAAAATTTTACCTGGGACCAAGTGACTATTTCAATTGGGTAGAAGACAAAGCAGATTGCCCAAGGCCAACAGATAGAGTGCAGGCAGAGTTTTTGGTTCATGATGGAAGAATACCGCAAAGGATGGCAGATGGCTAAATACCGGTCAAAAGCCATCACAGTGAGAATCAAACCTTGTGTGAGAGTTGAGGAAGCAAAAACATAATACTGAATGAGGCAACCGGCGATGGAAATTTTGGCTCCTTCTTTTAATAAGACATCTAACATGTTTGGCATAATATTGGTTGTGAATAAAATATCTGCCAAAGACAAATTTTTGAGGAAGATATACATAGGCACATTGAGATGTTGGCATGTTGACACTAGTACAATGATGGAGAGGTTTTCAGTTAAGATCAAAATATAGATTATTAGAAGCAGAACAAAAACTAGGATCTTGAAATCTGAAAAAGTCTTTAAACCAAGCATAAAAAACTCTGTAACATCTGTAAAATTGTCGCACATCTTTAAAAGAACTTGTAATCCTGTAATATAATAGGAACATCATCACATTTAAGGGAAAGAAAGCTATATAAAAAAAAAAAAGAAACACTTGGGAATACTGGTTAACAGAAAGCTAGCTGCAGCACTCAGTACCAGTCAGCAGCCGCAAAAGCAAACAAAATACTGGGATATATTAAAAGGGAAATAAAAATATGTGATGCAAATATCACACTGCTCCTATATATAATCACTTGTAAATCAACATCTTGAATATTAATTGCAGGATAGAAGAATTTGGTATAAGTTTAGGTAATAATTATTTACGGTAAGAGGGTTAGACTCTGGAATAGACATGTACTGTTCGTTTCATTCCCATTGAAATTTGTACTAATTTTCAGAAGTTTGTACATTTAGATGCATCCGAATTTCTGAAGGACAGAAATAACGAATCCGAGCGAAACCAAATGTTTGATAACGAAATTCAGATACATATGAATTTAATTTGGAACAAAACGCAACAGAGATCTGTCATTTACTGCTCTCAAGCTTCTCTCTTTGTTGACATTCTGGACTTGTACCCTGAATGAAAACAAAGTAACAGAATATTGTGACAAAAATTTAAATAAAGAAAGAAACTGAGAGATCTGTGCTATTCTGTAACAGCTTCTGCTTCTTTGTGGACACTTCGATCCGAATGTAAGGAATCTGACTGCTGAATACACAAAAGTGTTTAACTGTTCACAGAAATAATACTAATTTAAACAGTATGCGGTTCCCCCAACAATTCATACCAGACCCTTTAGGTCTGGTAGGAATGTTAGGAGGGACCCCCATGTAAAAAAAAAAAAAAAGAGCATGCGGTTCCCCAGCAATTCATACCTGACCCTTTAGGTCTGGTAGGAATTTAAAGGGCGAACCCCAAAGCCAAAAAAAAGAATATCCCATGCCAGACCCTTAATCCGGGCAGCCGCTTGGTAGGGCAGGAAAGGGGGGGTAATGAGAGAGCGCCCCCCTCCCTGCACCAAACCAGGCCACATGCCCTCGGCATTGGGAGGGTGCTTTTACGGGGGGATACCCTGGAGAAGCACCTCGTCCCCATGCTGACAACTGGTCGTTGTGGGAGTCTGTGGGCAGGGGGGCTCATCTGCATCTGGGTACCCCCTTTCATAAAGGGGGCACACAGATGCCGCCCCCCTTGTGAATGAGTAAGGGGTAGTTGTACCCCTACTCATTCACTAAAGAGTTGAATAAAATGTAAATAAACACACAACACCTTAGAAAAAAATAATTTAATTGAACAAAAAACACAACACAAGTGTCTGACAATTCCTTTATTTAAAAAAGAAAAAAAAGTCCCATGAAGTTGTTCCATGTCGGCGTCGGCCGACAAATGAAACAAAACAAAATCAAAACTCCTCAATGCAATGTTTACATCGGACAGTGGGCAGGAGGAAACAAAGCCTACTATTGGCTATTTAAAATTGAAATAGCCAATAGCAGGCTGGCTCTTGCACCTGCCCACTGCCTGATGTCAGTCACAGAGGAGCGGACCGGTCTGCTCCTCTGCAGGAGCAATTGCCATTCTGCTGTTAGCTTTTTAAAATTACAATAGCCATTAGCGGGCAGGTTATTGCTCCGCCCACTGCCTTCTGTCAATCAGCAGAGGAGCGGACCTGAGGGAAAACTTTCTCTCTCAGGTCAGCTCCTCTGTGGACTGACAGAAGGCAGTGGGAGGCAGCCATTCTGCTTTTGGCTATTTTAAATTGCAATAGCCAATAGCAAGCTGGCTATTGCTCCACCCCCTGCCTGATGTCAATATTATCTACTATTATAATTATAAAAGAATAATATATTTTGGCTCGGGGAACGGAACAAACTGGGGTCAGGAAGGAATCCATAGCTGAAACAAAAGTGTCCAAAATTTTCCATATGTTTTGTTCTGCACCAATAATATGGTAATTCCATGAATTAAATAAAGGAGACTTAAGTCTAAATCGAACACAAACACAGAATTTTTTTAACTTTCCTGTAAAATCCCTTTTTTGGAGTATTGTGCAGGACACAGGGTAAATTATGACGGCTATATAGCAGTGTTATCAGGTCACTGGACAGAGCTGTTGAAGACCTGTATAACCCCTCCCACGAAAGCAGATGCTCAGTTACTTGCCAGCAAAAGGGGATATAGAGGGGAAGACATGAAGAATAACCTGACTAATCCAACGTGCTATAGTGGAACGGGAAGCAGGAAGACCTCTACGAGACCCTGCTGGGATGATAAACAGTGAATCCGACTGTCTGTGGTATTGAGGTAGACCCATAATGCTTTTACAACATTCAAAGAGTGTAGCAACTCCTCCTTAAGATTCTGTGGATCTGGTAAAAGGAGGGCAACACATTATACTGATTAAGGTGAAAAGAAAAAATCACCTTAGGTAAGAAGGACTCCCTAGGCCTAAGTACTACCATTTCTTAATGTAGAACAAGAAAGGCTGTTAGCTTAGAGATCCACCCAGCTGTGGTGCTAGCTACCAGGAAAACAACCATACGAGTAATGTTCTCCAAGCCTATGATATCCATAGGTTCAAATGTGGCCTGTTGCAAACAGGAAAGTACCAGAGGTGCTAAGTGAGTAACTTATATGTAGGCTTTAGCTAGAAAATCCAATCCAATCCAACTGTCATTGATCATACTTAGAGCGAATCTCTAATCTAGCCCTGATTGTAAAAATGCTAAAGTCTTACTCAGAGAGTAAGATTTGGGATCCAGGTCCTTCCTTTTGAACCATCAAAGTACACTTTCCAAGTTTGGTAATACACCCTATGAGCTAAGGGCTTCCTTGCCTGTAACAAGGTATAACCTCTCCCGATAAGTCTTTCTTTCTCAAAATCTAGGCTTCATCAGCCATGCCATCAAAGCCAGCGACTGAGAAGCAGGGTGTAAGACTGGACCCTGACACAAAAGATACGGCCTATTGGGAAGCCTCTATAAAGAATCCCC